CAACACACTACTCCCACCGCCGCCCCCCGCCCCACCGAAACATAGTCAGTGACGCAACAAGACCACCTTCTCACAAGGGACCATTCCTTGTGTTATAGAGCGTCAGGTCCGTTCGGAGGTCATTGGGATGGAAGCCCAGTGACCCCATTATTGGCCGAGATATTTTTTCGTAAATTATTGATGACCGGGACGATTTATAGTGGATGAGTAAGATTTAATATGCGTGTATATCTATATATATATATATATATATAAAAATAATATATATATAACATCTAATATATAAAAATATAATATATAAATATATATATATATATATGTATTGTTATACATAATGGTAATACCTACATACATATATCTCTCTCTATATGTCTCTCAACAATATTCTGCCTTATCTATCTATCTATCTATCTAACTATCAGTCCTATCAGTTTATTATTCTTGCCTAGTTGCCTACACTCAATATATTCTTTATTTATGTTTGAATCTCTATTTCGAACTATGAGAAAAATAAACTCATAAACAATGTTGTATTTTCCATACGTAAACGCAAGCTACATGTGACAAAAAAGGAAAAAAAACAATAAGTAATTAAGATCAAGTTTAAGAAAACTATAAACGATGAAAGATTACAAAAAAAATCATCGCTGAAGATTCTGGACAACTTTTAGCGGGAGAGATTGTTTGTGAGAAAATTTTATTTATGTCGTAAAATCGATAATATCGTTTTTTGTTTTTGTTACTTGTTTTGTCTCGAAGCCAGGCAGGATGGAAATTGTGGGTAAACAAAAATTTTTTTTTTCTATTTTTTTATTGAATTATTTATCTATTTTGGCTCTTTGGTTTTTGCGTAGCGATTCGTCATATTAATCGAATTAATTTCTCATCTCTCTCCCAACATATTCCCACTATCTTGTGTCTTTACCACTTTCTATTATATTATTATTATTATTATTATTAATATTATTATTATTATTAACATTAAATTATCATTATATTATCCACATCAATAATTATTATTATTATAATTATTTACTTATTATTATTATTTAACATAAATTATTATATTATTATTATTATTATGTATTATTATTATTATTATTATTATAATCATTAATTATTATTATTAGTATTAGAATCATCATAATTTGTCATTATTTAACATTAGAAGTATTAGTAGTGTTCATCATTAATACTATTATAATCATTAGTTATCCGACACATTATCATTATCATTGTCTTATTATAATTTATCATCCTTATCATTACTAATATTATTAAATTTCTCAAAATTATCCCCCAACATTAATTACCATTATTATCATTATTCATTTTTATCATTATTAGTTGTAAGGTCATTATCATGAATATTATTATCAATATCATTATTATCACCGTCATTATAATTATCTTTACATCATTACCTAAACTTGTATATTTAATTAGTTACGCGATCGTAATTATACTTATCTTTAAACATCAATACTATTCTAGTTCCATCCATCTTACTCCACGATCCCCCTCTCCCCCCACCCCCCCCCCCAACATCATTACCATCTTTATTACCATCATTATTACAATACCCGTTAGAAATCGCTATAAAAGCACACTGCCACACGTGTCTTGAGAAGAGAGACACTAACTCTACCCATTCGACTTGGAATTTCTATTTTTCGATCTAATTGAATCCCCTTCTCCGACGTTTAAAGTCCAATTCCTCCCCATTCATTTTGAAACCTGTGAACGCCCTTAACAGTCCTCTTTCTTTCCTCCTTCTTACTACTTTCCCTCCTCTCTTTTCCATTATCTATATTCGATATCTAATGATAATCAGAATATTTTCCGGGCCTTTTGAGGAGTATAGAGTGAGGGAGGGATGGTGACGGGAGGAAGTGAAGGTGAGGGAGGAGAAAGGTAAGGGAGGCAAGGAAGGGGAGAATGGATAGAGCGAGAGAGATAAAGAATTGAGCGAGAGAGATAGAGAAAGGGTAGAGAGAGACAGAGAGAGATTAGAGATAGAGAGAGATGAAGAAGAGAAAGGGGAGAGGAGAAGAGAGTATGATTAAGAGAGAAGAGAGAGAGGAGAGAGAGAGGAGAGAGAGAGAGAGAGAGAGAGAAGAGAGAGAGAGAGAGAGAGAGGGTTGTTGGGGGGGGGGGGGAAGAAGGGAAGGGGTGGGAAAAGAAGAGAAGAGGAGAGGAGAGAGGAGGGTAAGAAAGGAAAGGAAGGAGGAAGGAAAGATGAGTGGTGGATATGATCAAAGGGAAGGAGGAGGGTGGGGGAGATAAAAAAAACGGAAGAATGTAGGTATAAGTGAGGAAGGAATGGAAGGCACGCCTATTGCCAGGCCCTCGTGTGTTGGCAGGAGGAGCATAACAAACGGAGCAAGGCTGGATTGTCTAGCCTGCAATCTATGTATGGTCTGTTAGATATGTGTGTATCTATCTGAAGCTCTAACTCTGCCCCCCCCCTCTCCTACCCTCACTCTCACACTACCTCCCACTCTCACACACACTCACACTCCTCACACTCTCTCACACTACTCTCTCTCTCACACACACACTCTCATCCTCACTCACTCTCTCTTCTCCTCTTCCACCCAACCCCCCCCTCTCTCACTAACTCAAATCTCACACCTCTCTCACTCTCTCTCTCTCTCAACACTCTTTTACTCCTCTCTCTCTCTCCTCTCTCTCTCTCCTCTCTCACTCTCTATAAATATATATATATATATATAAAATATATAATATTATATATATATATCAAATATAATACAGATATCTTTCTCCGCCACCCACCTCTCTCTCTCTCACCCTCTCTCAATACCGTTCCCCCTCCCTCCCCCCCTCTCTTTTTCCCTCTCACCTCTCTCTCTGTCTCTTACTCTCCCCTTCTTTCCCTCCCTATTTTCCTTCTCACATGGGAGAAATATTCCTTTTAGCCCCGTATCCCACCTTAACAACTAAGGTTTACATCCGGACCACATACACTATCTTTTTATAGCCGGTTTTCCGAAGAAGTGTTATGAGGAAGACAATACCTAAAACTATCTGGTCGACGATCGGTGAATATAACCGATGAGAATATATTTACGTCTTGGTCAAAATAACCCCGTGCTTTATTTTTCCGTTTCGTCGCCCTAAACTTATTAATAGTAAATCTAATGTAAATAAGTGGAGATGAGTTCCTTACCTCGTGATCCTCTGATAGAGGCGGGAAGTGTTTCGATCCCAATATCTATTAGAAAGGAAAGTATAAGGGACGCTGTAGTTGAGTCCGAAGGTATAAGGGTGGTAAGTGCTGTCCCTTAAATTATATCGAAGAGTATGTCTTTTTTATATAGTCGCTTACGGGTTAAAGATGGATTTGAGAGCTAGTTCTATCCAAACTGTAAAATGTTTACTTAACGTAGACAATTCTGTGAATTTTGTAATTTAAAGAGTCACTTGTAATAAAAAAAAAGATTTGAGAGCTAGATATATCCTACTACAAATTTACTTAATTTTTCCTTCCATCGAATCTTCCCACGCAGGACGTCTCTGTGAATATTGTAATTTAAAGAGTCACTTATGGTAAAAAAAAAAAGAAAAAAAGAGAGCCAGATATATCCTACAACAAATTTACTTAACTTAGACGACTCTCTGCATTTTGTAATTTAAAGAGTCACTTGTAATAAAAAAAATTAATTTGAGAGCTAGATATATCCTACTACAAATTTACTTAACGTAGACGACTCTCTGAATTTTGTAACAAAAAGAATTTGAGAGCTAGATATATCCAACTACAAATTTACTTAACGCACTTTCCATGACTGTCCTCCCACGCAGAGACACTCAGTGAAATTAAATATCACTTTTGGTGGCGCTGAAAATGCATATTTTTTTTAGTGGAAAGCCCCCGCGCGGCAACTCGGGAAAACACCATTGTCAGGTAAGCCGCGGTCCGGGAATGATAAATAACGACTCCATGAGCGTGAAATATCCTTTTTTTTTTTTTTTTTTGAAGAAGAAGAAAGGAACGGAGTGGGAAAAATGCCATAAAATCCTCTCCAATATTTTGGTCCTCCGGGTTCTCTATATCGTGACGTAACCGCGCCAATCAAGGAACGTCGCTAAGTGCCATGGTAAAAAGCGTGACGAAAATATAAGCAAGAAAGCCAAATATCTTGAATAATGGAAGGAGGAATAAGGAGGAAACGAGGAAGGCAGATAGGAAGGAAGGGAAGATGGGAAAAAAAATTCAAAACGAGCCTAGAAATGATCGTAAGTAATGTTTGTCGATTAAATAGAGAGACGCGTGGCGATGAAACGAAGAATAAAGAAACGCTGGAACGGTGTGGAAAGATAAAACGGGAATAAAGGAACATGGAACGAAATGGATAAAGAAACGAGAATGAATAACATGGAACGAGGAGGAAAGAGAAACAGAATAAGGAACAGGAACGAGGTGGAAAGAACACGAGGAAAAAAGGCCATGGAAACGAGGTAGAAAGAGAAACGAGGAATAAGGAATAAAGAACGAGTAGAAAGAGAAACGGAGGTAAGAAGTAGCTTGGAACGAGGTGGATAAAAACCGAGGAATAAGGAACTGGGAACGAGGTGGAAAAATAAAGAGGAATAGGAACACAGAACGGATAGAAAGAGAAACGAGGAAATAAGTAACATGAACGAGGTGGAAAGATTAACGAGGAAGAAGGAACATAGAACGAGGTAGAGAGAGAAACGAGGAATAAGGAACATGGAACGAGGTGAAAAGAGAAACGAGGAATAAGGAACATGGAACGAGGTGGAAAGAGAAACGAGGAAAATGGGAGATAACGACTGCAAATCGAAAAAAAATCCATGACCGAGAAAACACAAGAGAATGGTAAAGCGATAATAACCAAACAACAGCAAAAAAATAAAGAACAAAAACAGAGAACGACCAATGAATACGAAACAAGGAATGAAGTGATACAACGAACAAAATACAAACAAACAAACAGAGATAAACAGAGAACTATGTGCCCGCGGAAACAAATAATACACATTAATCTCTCTTTACATGTTTATCTCTCCCATTCTACTAGCATTTTACGAAAAGGAAGAGAGAAAGGAAGGAATAACTCTGGGGTGGTAACGGGATAAGAAGAAGATGGGAAGAAGACATAGAGGAAACATGGAGAAAATTGGAGAAAAATTGAAAGAAACTGATGGATTTTAGAGGTCGGAGGAGAAAGGGAAGAAAAAGGAGGAGGGAAAATAGATTAGGAGGTGGGGAAATGATGACTAAGATGACGGAGATGAGAATGTACAAAAAATAAAAAAAAATGGCGGAAAATGGTACGTCGATATTTGAAGAGGGAAATCAAAATGACCAAGGTTGGTTATAAAAACGAAAAAAGTCTTTAATATCGTAATCAAAAAAATTCTCTTTAAAAAAAGATAATAATTTTCCTCCTGTATCTCCCTCCCCCCCCCCCCCCTCCATAAACAAACCCCTCCCACACACATCCCCCCACCCGCCCGCCCCCCATGATCTATTATCCACTAACTCCTTATTTTTCCTCATTCCCCTCGTTTCTCTCCTCTCTCGATCACCTCCATATCCCCCGTTTCTCTCTCTCTCTTTTGTAATTTTCATCCCTTCTGTATCCTCTTTCTTCTCTTTCTCCATCCCTTCCAACCCCATCCTCCCCCCCCCTTCGTATCTCCTCCTCCCTCTCCCTCTGCGTCTCCCTATAATCTTCTTTTCCCTCCCATCGAAAGGTAAGCCATACGTAAGTCGTCCTACTTTCCTCCCCTATTTCCTCCCCCGATTCTCTGTCTCTTTAATCCCTCTTCATAATTCCCTTTCTCTAGCGAACCCACTTCCTCATTTCTCCTTCTCTTGAATCTATTCATTCTTCTTTCTATTTTGTCTTCTTTTTCTGCATACATTCTCTTTTCTTCCACTCCCCCCTTTGCTTTCCTTCTGATTATCTCCTTCTTATTTTTTCTTTCTCCCCCTCTCTTCTCCCTTTTATTTTTATTTTTATTATTTTTTCTTTTTTTTTCTTTTTTTTTATTTTTTTCTTTTCATTTTCTTTCCTTTCTTCCCCTTTTTTTTTTATTTTATCCTCTCATTTCCTTCTTTTTTTCTTTTTTTATCTTTTTTTATTTTCCCTCTTCCTCTTCGCAATTTCCTCCCCCTTTTTCTTTACCCCTTTATAATATCCCTGGTCCTCTGATTTCCTTATTCGTTTCCATCCCTTGTCCCGTCCTCTCCTCCTTCTATTTCCTCTCGTATACTTCCCTTGTTCTCTCTTCTTTCTTCTTTCCTCCCTTTCACATCACCCTGTGACTTCCTCAGCGTCCTCTCCTTGCATTCCCTCCCCTTTCCCTCTCCTTCTTCTTTCTTTTCTTCCCTCAACTTCTTTTGGGCTCTTCCCCATTTTCGCTTTTTCTTCTCTCCCCCTTCAACTCTTTCCACTCACCCTCTACCATCCGCCTCCTTCCCCCTCTTTCCCCCTCTCCCCTCGCTTTTCTTTTCCCTTTTCCCAACCCCTCCAACCCATCACGCCCCTCCCCTCCCCTCCCCTTCCCATTCTCCGCCTTCCTATAGACCTTTCTCTTGTCCTTTCCCACCCCCTTTTCCTCACGTACTCTTCCCTCCTACTTTACTCGTCCCTTCTCCACTTCCCATTCCCCTCCCACCCATCCTCCCACAAGCGCAACATTCACCCATCTCCCCTCCCCATTCCCCTTCTCTACCGTCCCTTCAATTTCCCCTTCCCTTTTCCCTCCCCCTCCCCCCATTCTTCACGCACACTCCCCTTCCCTGTCCTCTCTCCCTCCCCTTCCCTACCCCTCCTACCGCCCTTTCCCCCTTGTCCCTTCCCCCTTTCCCTCCCACCGACCTCCACCACTCTCTCCCTTCCCCATCCCCTTTCCCCTCTGGGTGGCCTGGGGACCGTCCCTTCTCCCCTTGTCCCTTCCCTTGGCCCTTTCTTCGTCCTCCCCTTGTCCTGTCCCCTTACCCTTTCCCATGTTCCCTTTCCCACTTCTCTCTTCCCCTTTCCCCCCTTGTTCCCTTCTCCTGTCCTTTCCCCCTTGTCCCTTCCCTTTGTCCTTTTCCTCCCCTTGTCCCTTTCCCCTTGGTCCCTTCCCCTTCCCCCATCACCCACGCACTTCTCCCCTCATCTTTTCCCTTCCACCGTCCCTTCTCCCCATCCCCTTTTCCTTTTTCCCCTTGTCCTTATTCCCTACCCCCTTTCCCCTTGTCCCTTCCTTTTCCTTTCCTCCCCCTATCTACCGTCCCTTCCCCTTCCCCTTTCACCCCCTTCCATATCCCTTATTATAACCTCCTTCCCCTTGTCCATACCCGCCCACCCCCCCATCTCCCACGCGATACTCTCGCTCCCCTTCCTACCGTCCTTTCCTCCCCTTCCCCTGTCCTGTCCGTTCCCCTTGTCCCATCCCACCCCCCCATCTCTCACGCACCCTCCCCCTTTCCATTTTCCCCTTTCCTACCCCGGTCCCTTCCCCTTTCCTTCCCCTTGGCCCTTCCTCTTTCATCCCCCTCTCTCCCTTCTCCTCCCCCTTGTCCCATCCCCTTGTTTTTTCACCCCCCCCCACCCCCCCCCCCCAAAGCGCCTAAACGAGCTCCTCCTCCGAGACCCAAATCCGAATAATGGCAACCCACCTGCTGTTGCCACATGGGGATCATTGGCCCTTGGAGAAAAGGGGTAAGGGTGAAGGGACGAATCAGGGCTTAAATGGGGTTTAAGGGAGATGAAGAGTAAGAGCAAAGGAAGGGATTTGTCGAGAGAGGGGAAGGTGAGGGGAGAGAGGGAGAAAGGGAGAGGGGAGGGCTTGGAGGGATGGAGGGGAGGGAGGGGGAGAGTGTGGGAGGGAGTGGAGGAGAGAGGCTGGTGTGAGGGAGGGAGGGAAGGAAGGGTGGGAAGGGAGCGATGGTGGGGAGGGGATAAGGGAAGGGAGGTGGGAGGAGAGGGGAGGGAGGGAGGGAGGGAAGGGGAGGGGAGGAGAGGGGAGGGAGGAGAGGGCTGGAAGGGGAGGGGAGGGGAAGGGTAACAACTAGGAAGAAGACGGAGAAAATCTTATATTTTTGATTCTTGTCTTTTTCCTCCACCCCCCCCATATTTATTTTTGTCTTAAATAATTCGATCTACATCTACAGATAGTCGTCTATATACTCACTCTATTTCTCGGTCAGTCTGTCTATCTGTCTCTCTCGCGCTCTCTCTCTCTTTTTTCCCACCTTGGTCTCTTTCACACACACAACACTCTACACATAAAAGTAAATATATATATTAAGAGATGTGTGTATGTATATATAAAAATCTATATATATAAAAAAAATATATCAATATATATATATATATATACACATATATATAAAAAAATATCTATGTAAAAACTATGTATGAATATGTTAACACACACACACACACACACACAACAACATATATATAAAAAAATATAAATATATATATATAAAAAAAAATATAAATATAAATATATATAAATATAAAAATATATGTGTGTGTGTGTGGTGTGATGAGTGTGTGCATATATAAATTATATAAATATATATATATCTATTATCTATATAAATAAATATATATATAATATGTATATATATATATACACATAATATATATAGTGCCTACAGTTGGCAAGATGGCATGCTTTAATAGAGCGGCGAAGCCTCATACTTCTGCTTTTTTTTTATACGCTTTTTTTTACTTCAAGCAACGTACAATGCGCTAGAATACGCGCGGCATCCTCTCCTCTCCACGTTCGATGGAATTGCGAACGAAGAGAGGGCCATTCACACACTGTTTAGTGCAAAATCACGGTTGGTCAGTCAAACGAACTAACTTTAATAAGGAAATTGTCATAAAAATATGTGTATATATCTATATATAAAATATATATATCTATATATATATAAAATAAAAATATATAAATATATATATAATAAAATATATATTTATTTGTATTGGTGAGAGTGTTGGTACATATACAAATGCAAACATAAACATATACAAATGTATAAGTATAGGTATATGCATATATCTCCCAATTATGACGGAAGACGTAAAACTCGACGCACTGGCGATCAATGGGCACGCCCGCGGCTTCGGTACATCAGTCCCGGAATCACAGGCTCGCTGCGTCTTTGGGCGCGCCTCCTGCGACGTACAATCGCACGCCACTTTCGAGCGGTTTTGTGGTCTTCCCAGCGCCTATAGGCGTTTCGTGACGGGGATATAAATACAAACAACAAACATAAACACACACACCCACACACACAGCACCTATACTCCAAAACACACACACACACACATATATATATATATAAAATATATAGATATATATATATATAAATATAATATAATATATATGTGTGTGAGTGTGTGTGTATTGTATACACACACACACAAACATGTATAACATCATAAACATACAAATATAAAAATGCAGTATACATATTCCTTCCCTCCGTCACTTGCACATAAGTTCCAATTCCTTTCTGACCAATTCAAAAGTGGGAACAGTTCTACCCACCCCCCACCCCTCCCTATTTCGGCTCTCCGCCATGTGGGTTTCCAATACGCAAAGAAATCCTTCCCCATCAATGCGGCGATTTATTTTTTCTTAACTGACATTATGTATTAGATTTACCCTATTCCAACTTCTTTATAATTTTCCTCATCAATTCACAATCTACTTTCAATCCAGATTCGAACAGACTTTTCCTCCTCCTCTCCTATCGCTATCCATAATTTTTTCTCTATCAATCTTCGTCTTCTTTTTATAATACCATTTATTTCTTCTCATTATCATTTTTTTTCTCCTCATCAATACACAATCAATTTTCAAATCTGGATTCGAACTTATTTTCCTCCTCCTTCCATCCTCCTTCCTCCTTCTCTTTCGCTATCCTATTTTTTTTCATCTTTCTTCTTCCTACTTCATCTTTTTACCATTTATTACCTTCTCATTATCATTTTTTTCGTGCTCATCTAAGGTCATCTTTCTCACTCAAAACCACCGACGGACGCGTGTAAACAGTACTGCCCAAAGGACCCTGAAGCTCATTTGCATAATATGACAAGCTTTTGGATGAGACTCTCGTCCGCGTCGCCAGAAGGGTGAGGTTATTAATAATTCTTCACTCGTAGGATGGAAGTATTCTCATTCTCTTTTTCGCAATCCCACACACGTCCATATACTCATAAAAATATATTCATATATATATATAACTATATATATATATATATATAATATATATATATATATAAATACTATATATAAACATATACCTAAATAAAATAACAATAATATTACAATAATATATATATAAATCACTAATTTTTTTATATTAAAATAATTTATTTAAACAGCCATTCATTCCACTGGTAGGACAAAGGCCACTCTCAAATCAGTATTGATAATGTTTAAACAACGGCAGTGCCTTCCCTTGCCTGATTGGATCCCTTTCCGAATCAAAACGAGCGGTCGGCGCGCTAGAAGCACTATGTGTCCAACCGGCAGCAAATGTAAGTATGAAATAATAAATTCATATACGTCACGAACTCCCTCGCACGGGCTATGATATTACCTTCCTCTCGACAGACTTTGTTTTTCTGGCAGGCGGTATCCCCGTCGCCCCGACTGTATGCCCTTCCTTTTAAACTCGAAACAAGATTCGAACACGTCGTGAGCTGGGTGACCGCACCTCATGGTCTCCAGCACGTTACCGCTGACATCAACGGCGGCCATAATGTATATATGTGTGTGTGTGTGTGAGTACATATATATATATATTGATAAATAAATAAATATATAAATATAAAATATATTATATATAAACAATAATATATAATATATAATATATATAAATATATAATATATATATAAATACAAAATAATATATATATAAATAAATATATATATATATCTATATATAAAATATATATATAGCCCACACACATAAACTATATATATATATATATATAATATTATTTTATTATAATATATATATATATAAAATATATATATATACATTTAAGGAAAACTGCCCACAGTAAGAAATTAAAATTGAGGATTGTAACTTTTCGAACTCTTTACGGTTTCCTCATCAGAACGAATGATATTACCAAAAATGATGATTTTTCGATTTTGGTATATCTTTGTCATGAAGAGGAACTCGTTTTTTTTTTTGGGAAGAGTTGAAATGTTTACAATTACAATTTAATTTTCTTACTGTGGCAGTTTTCCTTCTTTCATCTTTGTGTACACGTTACTGTGTTGAGTCATATTATATAAATATAAATATCTTTTATAATATATATAAATATATATATAATAAATCTATATATAATATATGTATAAACAAAATAAATAAATATATATATATATATATATAATATATATATATATATCAATATATGTATAACTATATATATGTAAAAATATATAAATATATATATATATATATATATATATATAAATAAAATATAAAATATGTATATATATATATATTTATAATAATATAATGTATAAATATAAATGTATATATCTAATATAATATATAAATATAAATATATAATCATATAATATAAATATATATATATATATATTAATATATATACTTATATTTATACACACACGCCAACCCACGCTGTGATGTGGTGTGTATGCGTGTGTACGTGATGTACATTTCTCGTGTATATGTTAAATGCTCTCATACTGATATACATATATACTAAAAACGCGTGTGTCGAAACAACTGGCGCGCGCGTGCATCTTTGAGAATCCACGCCAGCAAGAAAAATCTACCATGAATTTTGAAATTTCAGCTCGTCAGGGAATTTCATAAAACATTGCCGCAAGGGATATTAATTTTTATTAAGATAAAATTTAATAATTTTTTTTTGTAATTTATGTTTTATCCCGGAAATTAACCCTTGGGGCTAAACATGTCGAAACGGAGTGACTTTGTCATAAACACGGAGGGAGGAAGAACAAATATTCTATAACATAAAAATTCAACAATCAAATTTCATTCCTTAAGGTCATGCTGCTCTGCTTCGTTTAATACTCGTTAATCTGTAATTATCATTTATCAAAAATCTTCCATTCCACCCTTACATACCGTTTCATTCCATACGCTACTATCATCCAACTCTCACATCTTTCAATCTCTCTGACCTGTCTGTCTGTCTGTCCTGTCTCTTCTCTCCTCTCTCTCTCTCTCTCTTTCCCTTCTCGTTCTCTCCCCTCGTCTCTCTCTCTCCTCTCAGCACACACCACACGCACACACACACAACACACACACACACACACAAAACACCCACACAACACACAACGACACACACACACACAACATACACACACACATATATATCTATATAAATAAATATATATATATATATATATATATCTATAAATAAATATATGTATAAAAGATGCCATAATAGCTATAAATCTAATATATATAAATATATAAATATATATATATCTATATATATATATATATATAGACAAGAAGTATAGAATACTTATATATAAAATAAATATATATATATATAAATTAATAATATATAAATATAACTAAAATATATATAAATATATATTTTACATATATCTAAGTATAAATATATTTTGTGGTGTGTGTTTGTGTGGTGT